GTGAATGCTACTTGTTGGTCTGAGCCTCAATCTCGTCGGAGGCATTGGATATTTCATGAGTCAGTAGCCTGGATACAGAAAAAGCGACAAATCCCGACCTGCTAGGATCAAAACAGAGTTAGGTAGCATCTACAACGTCAGCTCACGAAGAGCTTCAAGAAGGACTGTGAGAACTGGTGGGTAACAGCTAGTGAAATGGAAGTAGCAGCTGCACCAGGGAATAGTCGAAGACTGTTCCGACTGATACGAACTACGAGAGTTTGGCGTACTGCCGTTTGTGAAACAGTTTGTTATAAAAGGAGACAATTCACAATAAGGATAAACAGCTTAATCGCTCGGCGGATTACTTCAGCGAAACATTCAGCTGTCCTGGCGCTTGCCAGGTTTCCTCATCGGCAACTAAAGCTCCGTGGGCAGTGACGAGCGATCCTCTGGCAGAAGCAGAAGTTCGGTCTTGCATTCAAGCTCTGGAGCGAGGAATCGTAGCTGGCCGAAGGGCTCCTTCCCACTCTTTTCTAGGTGGAGAGATGATAACCTCGTAAGCTTTATTGCTATCTCACTGGACCACATTTGTACACAAGAGCGCATTCCTTCATCGTGGGGCAAATCACCGATCGTTCTCACTTTCAAGAAAGGATCTCACAACGACTGCGCAAACCACCGCAGAGTAAGTTTGATCCTAATCGCCACCAAAGTATTAGCCGTTGTCTCACTTCAACATTCTCCCCTTCGGGAAGACAATTATTTGTGAACAAGCAGTATTCCGACGAGGTCGCGGTTGTATCGACGAAATATTCACGCTGCATCAAGTCCTTGAGCTGCGCCATAAACATCCTCAATCATGTTCCTTGACGTAAAAGGTTCCCTCCTTCGAAAGAGAATGCCCTAAAAGTGCGTTAACTTAATGAGTTCACTGTACTCACATACTTCTGGCAGAATGACGGCTGACAAAGAACTAAGTAGGCCGTGCGCAACCAGCAGCGGCGTTCGTCAAGGGTGCCCTGTTTCGCCATTCCTGTTCAATTTCGTCGTAGACGAAGTAATGGAGAAAGTACCAAGTGATCTCCAAAACGTAGGTATCGAATGGGCGACTGGGGAAAAACTGCGATTTGGAGTACACCGATGATATCGTGTCTGTTCGAATTTCTGGAGGACGCGCAAAGCACACTTGATAGACTAACAGTTACTGTTGCCACTTTCGGTATATACATTGCACCTTCAAAGTGCAAAGTGATGCTGCAGGACTGGGTATTGCCTACTCCCACTCTGAAACTAAACAACCAGGAATTAGTTATGATGGATTACTTTTCCTACTTAGGTAGTTGCGTGACCAATGGCGGTAGCTCAGCAAACGAGCAAACCACCCAAATTTCGAAGGTTCAAGCATCATACGCAGGACTGAAACACCTTAGATGTAGACGCGACGTTTCACTGAAGTTGAAAGGTCGTGTTTATTGTACCACCGTTTGTTCAGTTCTGCTTTATGGTTGTGGGACCTTGAGTTGGCGATTAGAATGTATCCATCAACTAGAAGCTTTCGATTACCGTTGCTTACGCAGTCTAACCCACGTGGGATGGAGCGAACGGGCTAGTAATCTGGAGGTAAGCCGTCGTTTGTTTAGGAGTTTATCAGAGGTAAGCCTGCTAGCACATCGAATTCAGATTAGTAGACTTCGATGACTAGGGCACATATTGCGTATGCCCAACCATCGAGGGGCCGCATCGCGCTTTATTCGCCGCTCCGGGCTGGAGAATACCATGTGGAGGTCAACAGATAAAGTGGAGATGAGGCATGAAGACATGTACAGAACCCTTAGGTAGAGTAAGTGTTTCTCGTCTTCCGGGTTGTGGTCCACAAGACTCCGGAACCGCATGGTTGGAGACGCTGAAGGTCATGGCTGCGAACCGACAGCAGCCGATCATGCTGTCACTTCTTATCAGTCCAGAATGCTTGAACTAGTATGTATTGAAAGTTGGGCTGTGAACTCTGTGTGTTGATCATAGAGGTTCGCTTTCTTCTCCCGTCCCTAAAAGTAGGCTCAATTCCTGTCCTCCTTACACATTCTCACCTATCTTGCATGCATTGAGTTTGGCAGCGCTCAGTGAAGTTCGCTTCACTGTATTACGCTGTACAATGATGATGATAATGATGAAATCATGACCAAAAACAATCTGTTTTCAATAACCGTTGTCTGTGCAACTCTGCGCATACAGTAGTAGCCGATTGTGATGCACTAAAATATTTTCTTTATGATCAAATGGAGTTTCATTATATTTATCACCTGTATTAATGCTTTAGGATGGACAATAATTTATATCATGTCTACTTCGATCTACGTAGTTTCTAGTCTGCATAAGTGTCAATTAAACATGTCTGACCTTGAGTGCCAAGATTAAACAATCTGAACATGAAAACCACAAACTTTATCAAGTATGACAACGCAATATTCTCTAATAGGAATGACTCAAGAATTATCCCAAATTAATTCCATAAACCCTTGCCATCTGGATTATTTGTTATGAAGCATACCGTGATAGCGAGCTGAATGCTACCCGGCGCATCCCCGGGTTGTGGATAGGGGGATAACTTCACTACGAGTTTCCATCATTGAGCAACAGGTTTTCGCATCTACAGGGGTCACCTCGTCCGATGTTCATCACATACATAAGTCTGCCTTTGTCTTTTTACCTCCTTTTTATTTATTGAATATACAAGTGTACAGTCAACATTCAGGAATGGGGGTCATGGTCATACAAAAACTGCTTGAAAAGATAGACGGTGGTGGAACAGTTCGAATGCGAGACCTATTGGTCACAAGTTGGTGACCTAACCACTTGGCCACCACCGCTCCATTTTGGTAATAAAAACCATAGTCCTTGAGAAACCGATTGGAAATTTCCCTATATGTATCATCCCAGGGCCTGAGTTCCTCGTTCTTCTAACTGAATAGTAGATCTTTCGAACTGTGGGATTCGTCTTTTTGTGATTCGTCACGCAAATGTGTACAATAAAACTTAAAATTTCGGTTAGATCTTTGGTTGATGGATCTCATCTCTTAGTTCAATGCACTAAATAAACTCACTGTGACCATTGCTTTTCTGTTGATAAAAAGCTTCATTGTCTGTGCTAGGCCCCTGCGGACGTCATATGTTGAACCAATGCGCTTCTTTCGAATAATGCGGTAAATTTCTAACATTCCCACTACTATCCTTTTTAACGGGTACAAACCACGACCTAATCTGAGTTTGCGTTATGCATACTGTGCGCGTACTTGTAGTTCTTCCGATATGCGGGCCAAAATATTTGGTAATGGTGTGCGTGTGATCAAGCATTGTACATTATCTGCCTCCGAAATCCTCAGTATGGTCGGGGGTGGGTATCTAGGGTTGCGGCTGGTCACCCTTCCCTTGCGCCTGTCAAAATACTCCCATACGACCAAGCG